CGAGCTTGCCGCCTCTTTTTCTGCTCAGCTTCCACCATCCGCCTTAGTTTAGCTGGAGGTAGGTGGAAGTGCTTTTGCTCCTGCTGCTTCCTCTTCCCTGTGCCTGAGAAGAATGCTTCGACGGTTTTTAACCGCATCATCTAACTCCTCTTTACTCATTTCACCAGGCAATTTCTGTGGAATTGGCCTTGGTTTCACTGGGGCCTTCTTGGTCGTCTTCGCCGGTGGGGCAGATGGCTTATTTGTTTGCAGTCGTCTTCCCTGGTTCATGGGAGGAGGTGGGGGAACAGGCGTTGGAGACCTTCGAGGCGGCGTTGGGGAATGCCTTGGAGGCGGTGGCGGCGGCGGTGGAGACCGTCTTGGAGATGGTGGGGATGCAGCCGTGTCTTCTACCCCATCGTAACCGCCGCCCGGAGCACTATGCTGGTCTGGTGATTGTACTATTGGGCTTAGGTTGGGGGAGGCCCTACTATGTGCGTACAGAAGACAATGAGTCAATTGTTATTTAAGAGGCAATATAAAATTAATAAAAAATGTTTCGTTCACTTTCATCCGTACCTATTGTGCAGCAACGGCTTCCCGGGAATATTGATGTAGCGCTTGCGCCATGCAATGAATGACTTCTCTGCTTCTCCCACGGTCTTCTCCCCATCACCTCCATGAATGTCAAGAGGCACATCGCTAAAACCTTCAATAGCTTTATCCACTGAGACGGTAGCATATCCAGCTGGTACTACTGCCCCATGGATTCTTGGTGTCTTGGTACGGTCGATAGGGTTTACAACACCAATAGCCACCTTCACTGTGGCATTATCTTTTGGAATGTGCAGCTCACATGATGTAAAAGGTTCAGTGACGTCATCCACGGGGAAGCGTAGCTCTGCATCTTTGATGGCATCAGGCAGCTTCATAGAAGCACAACTGCTTCTCAACTGATCGGAGCTAATGTTGATTCCCAGAGCTGTTGTAATCCCGTGGGCACTCAATTGTATTTGCACTTGCCTTGCGACTTCCTCTTGCATTTTCGCTTGCATTTCTTTTTCTCGCCTTTGTGATTCAAGCACCGCTTTCCGTGACTCAATAACATATTGCTGCAAGATGTGGATCCTCTCTGCCTCCTCATCCTTCCGTCTCTGGCGGCTTCTGTACGAATCGATCCATTCAGGGAAACCTTGCACCCACAGAACGACCCCTTTGCCTCTAGTTCTTCCACAATGCTCAGCAGTCTCGATGGAATATGTCAGTTCATCTTTCTCTCTGTTGGGCCGGAATAGTCCACTATCTCTAGCTTTTAGAATTTGAATCAACCTTTCTGTTGCACTTTTGAGTTTTGTGCCATGGACGAGCTTCCCGGTGACTGGGTCCAATCCTCCCCCATGACCTAAAAACCAACGCTTTGTGCGTTCAGGCCACGGTGCTGATTCAGGTACGACCCCCTTGGCAATAAGGTCTGCTTCCATTTTTTGCCACTTGGGAACGGAAGTCGCGTAGCCACCTAATCACATGTTATGGTGGTATTGCTTTTGTCTGGAATTCTCTTGGTTCCTTCTCGCCCATTCTGCACCCTCTTCTGATGTCTTGTACTGTACAAATTCCTCCCAGTAGGGCCTTGCCTTCGCGATTGGGCCCTTATCGTTCCAATTTGGAGTCTTGTTCTTCTTGATGTATGATTTGTACAGCTGCTTCTTCTAAGATTGGAATTGGGTGGCCATCTTCTTCATTGTCCAGTGCCTAACTCGCTCCGTCAACCTTTCGTGGGTGATGTCTTCATGATAATCATCTGTTTGGAGCGTGAAATGTGCAAGAACATCTTGCCAAATCAGCTCCTTGTCCTTATCAGAGACATAACTAATATGAGGAGCATTGTTATTTTTTTCCATTCACGGGCATTGATCGGGAGCTTGTCCCTTACAAGGTACCCACAGTGGTACACGAATTTCTGTGCATATTGTCCTAGTGGTTCGTCTGTAGCCACGTTGAATTCTGAGATGATGTAGCGGCCTTCCAACGACTTTTTGGCCCCTCGAACATTCTTTGTGTTCCCCGTCGTTGTCGTCGATCCAAACGGCTATGTACGCATAGAAACATAAAAAGTATTATAAAACGAAGGTCGATCGAGTGGGCTACATGTATGCATAATAAATAAATGAGACCTAGATATTGAGAAATATATACCTCGCCGGAATTATCTTCATGAACAACTTCCTCAACAATATGATCGAGATTCAAGTATTGACTCCCGTCGTCTTCCTGCTGGTCATTATCAACATCGGCACAATGTTCAGTGCCGGCGTTGATAATATCCATCATTTCCGCCTCCAGGTCATCGTCTCTCGGGTCGGCCATAGAGAGCCTAAACAATTATAAAACAATAATTATGCAATTAGGGTTTCATAGACATTTCATACACATTTCGGGGCGGTGGTGTCTGCGTGGGGCGGCCGGCCAGTGTCGGTGGCCGGGGAGGGTTTAGGGTGGTTTAGGGTTTAGGGTTTAGGGTGGTTTAGGGTTTAGGGTATAGGCCACATGGTATCAGAATATAACACAATTGATTTTTTTCCTAAGGAAAAATTATACATGTATACATTAATTGATATATATATACACACATTAATTTCATACATATATACATTAATACACATTTCGTCAATATAATTCATAAATATAATAAATATAATATATATATATATACCGGCGGTTTAGAATTAATGGAGTGTTGGCGACGGGCGGTGGTGGACAGCGGCGCTGGATCGAGGCACGGGGGCTCCTAGCTGGGCGTGGCGTCGTCGGGGCTACTCCGGCGAGGTGTGGGTGGGCGTCGGGATGCCCTCCGGTGAGGAAGAAGGCGCGGTGGCATGGCGGCGGCGTGGCGTGGCGCGCGCACGGTGTCAGGGGCAGCCAGGGGCTCCTCCTTGAGGGGCGCGGCGTCGGGGCTACTCCGGCGAGGTGGGCGGGCGTCGGGGTGCCCTCCTGTGAGGAAGGTGGCGTCGGGGGTGGCCGGGAAGGCGAAATCTCGGCGGCGGCGTGGCGCGCGCGCGGCGTTGGGGGCGGCCGGGGGCTCCTCTCGATGAGGGGCGCGACGTCGGGGCTACTCCGGCGAGGTGGGCGAGCCTTCGGGGTGCCCTCCGGTGAGGAAGCAGGCGGCGTCGGGGGTGGCCGGGGAGGCGAATCGGCGGCAGCGGAGCTCTGGGGACGCGCTGAAGACGAAGACGATCGATGAGGAGGAAGAGAGAAGGGAGGCGGAGGTATATAGGAGAGGGACCTTTAGTCCCGTCTCCATGCACCGTCCGGGACTAAAGCACCTTTAGTCCTGGCTCCTGCCACCAGCCGGGACTAAAGGGGGGACCTTTAGTCCCGGCTGTTGGAAGGAGCCGGGACTAAAGGATTTATTGGCGGGCCGCCAAATGCAGCCCACCTTTAGTCCCAGCTGGTGGCAGGAGCCGGGACTAAAGGTGGGCTACATTTTTATTTCCCGCCAACTTTTAAGTAGATCAGTTTATTTTATATATGTTTTGTATTTAAATGTTTAAGTCTTATTATTTGCGCAGTAAATTCAATGCTAGGCATAAATTTTTTTAGAAAAAGCAATAAACTTTATTTTCATTTACTGCACACAAAAAACATATGTGACCTGAACTATTGTGTTTTTTATTATAAATGTTGAACATAATGCAACTAATACTCACTATTTTCGTTAATGCAAAAATGTAGACTTTAATTGAAATTATTAAATTTATTGGTTTTCGACAGGAAATTAGTTTTCATGTAATTGTAACGTAAATCTTTAGGTTCTTCATTAACCATTGTATAATTAATCGATGAGTTCGGGCGAAAATTCAATTAAAGTTAAAAAAGTACCAAACCACCTCAGAAAAATCTCAAACTTGGTGCTGGCTACACATAGGGCATTTGTAGTCTTGAGAAAAAGTTTGAGACCAATCCGGTACTAGAAAGCAAATGGACTTTAGAGTCCCAGAGAACCTAGGTGTATAGATAGGGTTCGACGAAAGATTCTATATACCTCTGTGAAGCATGTCGACTCCGCCTATGTCGAAATGGCTTGAATTTTTTTTAGCAGTCATTTACACCCAAAATATGACCCCACACAAGATCTTATATTTTTTTGATAATTATTTTTATGATTACATTTTTCTTTGTGCCGCGTGAGACGAAATACGGTGAATTACATATTGAAAACAATATAATTTTGCATCAACCTCCACAAATATTTGTCTCCTAGGGCACAAGAGACCATTTAGCAAAGTTTGGCACCATTCCGGATCTTTTCAGGGTGGACTTAGTTCAACGTATAATTAATCGGTGAAGTCGCGTGGAAATTCAATTAAATTGAAAAAATTACCAAACCAATTCAGAAAAATCTCGAACTTGGTGGTGGCTTCACACTGGGCATTTGAAACCTTGATAAAAATTATGAGATCAATCAGGCGCTAGAAAGCACATGGACCAGAAAATTCAAAGTATAGTTAACAAAAGAATATAATCAATTAAAGGGTCTTTTCTCTTATTAAATAAATATTTGGGTGCTTTCTTGTCGAGAAAGTGACTTAGTTCAGATGGCTATCTAGTGCGCTGCGGTTTGGACCTTGGCTATGAGGTCGTGGGTTCAATGCCTGGCTGCCCCATTTTTTTTTGTCCAGCGCGACTATATTATTTTATCAGGAAAGATTTTATCCCGGTTATAGCTCAGAGCCAAGATTAAAGGTCATCCTTTAGTCCCGGCTGGAGCGTCAAGCCGGGAGTAAAGATTTATTCCCGGTTGAAGGGTCCAGCCAGAACTAAAGGATAACCTTTAGTCCCGGCTCTAGGCTATAACCGGGACTAATTGGTGCCTGCCGTCGCCACACACTTAGGGCAGAAACTTTGTATCCTTGTTTGAGGATACAACCGGGACTAATAGTCCCTTTAGTCCCGAACACAAAAATACCGAGACTAAAGACAAAAATAGAGGCAGGATGAAATGTCTGTTTTCTAGTAGTGACCATCACTCGAAATGTGGTGGATCACCTTCTTGTCTTCACTAGTGATCTCATAAGCAAAGACACCTGCTGGGAGGGTCCTGCGGTTCGTGCCTACTGGCAGCTCCGAGCTCACACCATCAGCAGTCGAAATGCGGTGGCTCGTCTTGTCCGGCAGCCCGTTCTTGATGCCACTAACCGTGGTAAAACCATCATCTATGTCAAAAGCAAAGACACCTGGGAGGCCCTCGCCTTCCAGCAGGGCTCCTCCGTGTGCAAAGGAAACGTTTACATAAATATCAGCAACTGAAGCCAGCTTCTTGGCGAATTCAGGGTCGTTCTTCTCTTCCTCCTCGTAGAACCTAGCAGTTTCTAAGAGCAGAACACCTCCATCTGGTAATGAAGCAGCCAACTGCTGGAGGTCCTCAGCAATGCAGTCATTGGCCATAGCCACCTTTTATATCAATCAATGAATATAACATACCGTATATATAACCAAATGTAGGGAATATAAGATGAGTTATCGTTCCAAAATTTTCATGTTATGTAAAAGAATAAACATGGGTTATCTTTACAAAACACATACATCAACTTCCAGGAGCTCAGACAAGCGCGGGACAAGAGGCTTCAAACTGAACTTGGGAGTGACACATATTTTCTTTTATATATTAGACTGAACTAGCAAAAGTGTCCGTACATTGCAACGGGAGAAAATGTATAGCATCATCCAAAGTTTTGACATCTATGTGTTGTTTTGCCTTGAAAGCTATAGTTTTTCATTTACATCATTATATTTTTATTGTACTTAACATTATGCTAAAAAAATGTTTATATAAATGATTTTGATACCATATATTTTCTTCTACTTAAGTAATCAATTACAGCTATGCCATAGCGCAGGCGAACACGAAGGGTCGGGTGCGCATATTTTCACCTCCACTTCCAATTATAGCATCAAAGAATCAACAAATGTACCAGTGAATTTATATAGTGCATAAACACTTCATCGTGCAACTTTTTGTTAAAGTCGAGACCAATAACACACAATTAATCAATCTGAATTATCACCAGTGAAGTAGCTTTTTTATCTCAGCTCCACGAGCAGCTCCAGTGATGGAGATGAAGCTGTTTTGATGAAGCATTTGATTAATCGACTCCTTATGGTAGTTACAAACTATAAAATGTCTATGTCGGTGTTTCGAGTCATCACCAACAAGTAAATTTCTAATATTGCGCGTCTGGCTCGGATGGTGTGCTTAGATGACACGAGGTTTATACTGGTTCGGGCAGAATGTTTCTACGTCTAGTTCGTCGCTGCTGCTCGTGTTACTAGCACTAAAAGTTTGCAGTAGGGGTTACAAACGGGCGAGAGAGGGACAAGTCCCAAGTCTCTAATGGAAGAAATGAACGGGTGCCGAGAGCTCGGTTGCTCCTCAGCCATGTGCTTGTGTTGTGATCGGTTCGAGGTTCGATGGGTTCGTGATGGTTCGATCGGGTCTAGCTTGGATCGATAGTTCGATTGTTCCATCCCCTTCATGGGGCGCCCTGCTTTCCCTTTTATAGGCCAAGAGAAAGCACATGTTATAGTGGAGGAAAGGAGGAGAACGAGCGAGAGAGAGAGGATGTCCTTCAGGATCTCTGGGTCCTTCTTATCATTCATGCGGGTCCCGCCGACCTTGTAGATGTCAACAGGGACAGCTCCACGTCGTGGCCCTGTCCGTCACTGGCGCCATGAGCAGACATCGTCTGCCGATCATGGCGCTCCACTCCGTCCTGGCGGACGTCGTGGTGAACTGACGCTCCTGTCAGTGTTCGTAAGAGGGTTAGGCAGAACAGCACCGGTACGCCCGACGCTGTTCCTGATGTGAACCTTCGGGTATGGCCCGTCGTGGCCACGGGTTACATCGGGGCATGTCGGTCTCTTTCCATGGTGTCAAAGCTTTGACCCAGGCCCATACACTTGTACATGGAGTGGTTGGTGGCGGCATGGGTCTCTGTCGAGTGAGACGGAGTCCGTGGCCTCGGGGTCGGGTGAGGCAGAGCCCGTGGCCTCAGGGTCGGGCGAGGCAGAGCCCGTGGCCAGAGGTCGGGCGAGGCAGAGCGCAAACCCAAGGGTCGGGTGAGGTGGAGCCCGCGACCTTGGAGGTCAGGCGAGGCGAAGCCAGCCGTTAGATGTTGGGCGAGGCGAAGCCCGTGGCCATAGTGTCGGGCGAGGCGGAGCCTGCAGCCACGGTGTCGGGCGAGGCGAAGCCCACGACCTTGGTGTCAGGTGAGGCGGAGCTAGCCCTCAGAGGTTGGGCGAGGCGGAGCCAGCCCTTAGAGGTCGGGCGAGGCGGAGCCCGCAGCCACGGTGTCGGGCGAGGCGGAGCCCGTGGCCTCAGTGTCGGGTGAGGCAAAGCCCTACCCCAGATGTCGGTCGAGGCGTAGTCCGCCCCCAGAGGCCGGGCGAGGCAGAGCTTGGGCGCCTGGGGGTCAGTTGGAGCCGTAGTCACGCTCTTGACTGCTCGGATGAATCAATGTTGATGGCCGTTAGCTCCTCCTCTTCAGGTATCCTAATATTGGTCCCAGATAGTAGCCCTTGAGCCTACGGAGGAGTAGAATACTCCTTCGGAGGCTTTTCCGAACGATAGGACTCTGAGGGCCTTGGTCTTCTTTTGTCGCCCCCGGCGTGGCCTAGGGACGGTGATTCCCTTTCATTGAGATCGGACCCCTCGGGGGTATAGCCATGAGATCTGGTAGGTTGGAAAAGGTCTTTCCTGATTTCGACCCCTATGGGGGTCTGTTGTTCCGCGACCGAGCATTCGGCCTTTCTGCAAGTCCAACATTGCTCGAGCCCCCACCGGAAGCAGGGGTTCGGTCGAGGATCGTCTCGTCTTCACGATTGTCTTCCCTTAAGTAATTTTTTCTAATAAAAATGGAGGGCCCGAGCCATGTCATGATTTTCCTCTATGGACAAATCATGGTGCTCGGTGAGCTATCAATGGGCTGGTCCGAGTGGGGCCTTAACATCCCATTCGTGGGGATCCAGCTGGGGTCAGCTGGTGACTGGCTCTAGATTCTCAACGGTCAATCCATATTGTTCAGCCGCCTCATTGAGACGCCTCGGGACGTGATTGAGCTCGAGACCGTCGAACTTGTCCTCCAGTTGGTGGACTTCTCAGCAATATGCAGCCATCTTGGCATTGTGGTAGCTCGACTCCTTCATGACTTGGTCGATGACTAGCTGGGAGTCGCCCCGGACGTCGAGGCGTCGAATACCCAACTCAATGGTGATGCGTAGGCCGTTGATGAGCACCTCATACTCGGCCATATTGTTGGAGGAGGGGAAATGGATGCAAACCATGTACCTCATGCGTACCCCAAGGGGCGAAATGAAGACCAGCCCCATGCCGGCGCCTTTCTTCATCAGCAATCCGTTGAAGTACATCGTCCAATACTTCTGGTCGACGACCACCGCCGGCATTTGGACCTCGGTCCACTCTGGAATGAAATCCGCCAGCACTTGGGACTTGATGGCCGTCTGGGGGCATACGAAATGCCTTGACCCATCAGCTCGAGTGCCCACTTTACGATTCTTCCCGTGGCGTCCTGGTTTTGGACAACCTCACCGAGGAGGAAGGACATCACGACCGTCACCGTATATGACTGAAAGTAGTGATGTAGCTTCCTCTTGGTGATAAGGACGGTGTATAGGAGCTTCTAGATTTGGGGGTAGCGGGTCTTGGAATCGGACAAGACCTCGCTAATGAAGTACACGGGACACTACACTTTGAGGGCGTGCCCCTCTTCTTCTTGCTCCACCACCAGGGCGGCGCTGACCACTTACATGGTGGCCGCAATGTAGAGCAGAAGCAGTTCTCCATCGGTCGGAGGGACCAAGATTGGGGCCTTCGTCAGAAGCTGCTTGACCGCGTCAAGTGCCTCCTAGGCCTCGGGCGTCCATTCAAAACGGTCGGCCTTATTTAGGAGCCGATAGAGGGGGAGACCTCATTCGCCGAGGCACGAGATGAAGCGGGTGAGCGCAGCGAGGCACCCTACAACTCGCTGTACCCCCTTTATGTTATGAATCGGGCCCATCCTTGTGATGGCCGAGATCTTCTCTGGGTTGGCTTCGATGCCATGCTCGGAGACGATGAAACCCAGCAGCATACCCCTTGGGACCCCAAAAATGCACTTCTTAGGGTTGAGCTTAATGCCGTTTGCTCGAAGTTTTACGAAGGTCTGCTCTAGGTCGGCTACGACCAGGTCAGCCCGTTTGGACTTGACCATGATGTCATTCACGTAGGCCTCAACGGTTCGCCTGATGAGGTCCCCAAAACACTTGAGCATACAATGCTGGTATGTAGCCCCAGCGTTCTTCAGACAGAATGACATTGTGACGTAGCAGAATGATCCGAATGGGGTGATGAAAGATGTCATGAGCTGGTCGGACTCTTTCATCGTGATTTGATGGTACCCGGAGTACGCATCAAGGAAGCTAAGGGTTTCGCACCCCAAGGTTGAGTCGACTACTTGGTTTATGCGTGACAAAGGAAACGGATCCTTTGGACATGTTTTGTTGAGACCCATATAGTCAACACACATTCTCTATTTCCCACTCTTCTTTCGTATAAGAACGGAATTGGCTAACCACTCAGGATGGTATACTTTCTTGATGAATCCGGCCGCCAAAAGCTTCGCAATCTCCTTGTTGATGGCCCTGTGCTTCCCCTCATCGAAGCGACATAGGTGCTGCTTCACTGGCTTGGAGCCTGGCCTGATCTTCAAGGCGTGCTCAGCGACTTCTCTTAGAATGCCTGGCATGTCCGAGGGTTTCCACACAAAGATGTCTCTATTGGCACGGAGGAAGCCGATGAGCGCGCTTTCCTATTCGGAGGAAAGCATGGTGCCAATGCGCACCACCTTGCCCTTAGAGCCGCTAGAGTCTATGAGGACCTCCTTGGTGCCCTTTACAGGCTCAAAATACCCTGCCGACCGTTTGGGGTCGGGTGCTTCTTCGACGACATCCTTCCTGATGATCGCAAGCTCCTTGGAGGCGACGATTGCCGCGGCGTGTTCACAACACTCGACCTTGCACTCATAGGCACGCTAGAAAGAGGTGTTGATGGTGATGACCCAGCACGGTCCCGACATCTTTAGCTTCCGATAGGTGTAGTTGAGGACGGCCATGAACTTCACGTAGCATGGACGTCCTAGGATGGTGTGGCAGGTTCCATGGAACCCAACCACCTCGAAGGTAAGGGTCTCTGTCCTATAATTGGTCTGATCCCCAAAGGCGACGGGCAGATCGATCTGCCCAAGTGGCACGGCCTGCTTTCCAGGCACGATGCCATGGAAAGGCGCTCCGGTCGGTCGGACGCACGATCGTTCGAGGCCCATGGCGTCGAGTGTTTCAGCGTACATGATGTTGAGGCCGTTGCCTCCATCCATCAGTACCTTGGTGAGCCA